GTAATGTTTTCAATCACACAACTGCTAAGCTATGACGATTCAACCGCTCAACTATGACGTCAAGCCTATGACACTGTGTTAAGAAAAGACAGAGGCAAAGGGAAAATCAAAGAAAATGTAATAAACAGAAAATTCAATGTTTTGTAGATGAATATGGAATTTATTTTAAGTGGGACAGGGTTTTTTGATATTTTCACGAGTGCGAAGCACGAGTGAAAATATCAAAAAATCCTGTCTCACGAGTGAAATAAATTCCATATTCATCTACAAAACATTGAATATCCTCTATTTATACTCACAAGCCACATTTATTGTATGACATGTCTGTGAAGCATTTTATCATGTATAAAATCATTGAAGGTTGTAGAATTTGGGCATAAATAGAGTGAAGATAACGAGCAGTGATCGATCTAAAATAAACAGAAACAATACAAATCTGTGAAGAGAACATAAACACTGACCTCCGGATATTCCAGAGGTGGGATCAGGTACCTATGAGGAGTAAGCATCCCCTGTCGACCGGCGACATCAGCGGCCGTGAGCCCCAAGTATATTGATCAGGTAGACGACAGTTGGTATAAAAACAAAGGCCTAACAATTGGTATGAAACACCTCAGCCAAAATACGACACAATTTGCTAACAAGGCCATTATAACTGTAACAGACGGGGGAAAATGTCGGCCAGACTGGGGGCGCACTTTTTTCAGACATCCGGGCGATGACCCGGTTCACTTTCATCACATGACATATTGACCCGGTTAGTGTCGCTGGAACGAGTGAAAATTCAGCCGGAAAATGGCTGATACTGTTATCGGTGCTGTTGCTGTAGTTAATAAATTTCTCTGAACGCACGAGGACAGATTTTGTAGATATATTTGCATTTTAATATTTACTAGATCCATTCAATGCACAGTATGTGAATTTGGAGCACAGGGCCTCTTTACAAACAAAACTGAAAAGTAACTTTAAAATTAAAAAAAAGAAGTGAAGTTGCGCAAATATAAACAGACATGTTGTAAAAGTCACTTATTATCTCAGTACTGCATGTTTATTGAAACTGAAACTACTGCAAATGATTAAAAAACGAATATTTCATCATCAAGAAAACTTCTACCTCCGTTTTCCGCCATATTGCTTTTCATCTGCCCGCTCAAAATTTTTCGGGAGATCCGGGCTACTTTCTGACCGCCCGACGGCTTAAAAATATTTGAAACAAGTTACTTGCCCGCTTCCGGAAGTATCAACTGGCTTGACCCGGCTTATGAAACAAGTGCGCCCTGGGACTCGAACCCGGGACCTCCCGCTAACCGTGTTCTAACCACTGCGCTACCGGGCCGACGTACCCAGTCCCCGTTACACTCTCCCCCCCCCTTTTTCTTGAGGTTTTCTGTCCTGAAAACCTCACCGAGACTCTTCTAAACCACCCGTGGGTTTTATTGTTGGGTGCCAAATGTAACGCGGGGAAAAATGTCGGCCAGACTGAGACTCGAACCCGGGTCCTCCCGCTAACCGTGCGGGAGCTCTAACCACTGCGCTACCGGGCCGACGTATCCAGTCCCCGTTACATAACAAACATGGAACTTACGGAAAATGCTGACTTTTATACGAGGTTGTTGAGATCCCTGCAACATGAAGTAGCCTGAATTGGTTGAAAAATTGATCATGCTCAAAGCATACTCTTGATTATAGAATAAATTGGGACACGTAAATACCAAATGCAGGTGAAAGCAGAATATTACTCTATAATATATTTTGCTAAAATGATACTTTTATTTAGGATATTTCTTTTTAAATATGTCAGAAAAATACGATACATAGATGGTTAAAAAATAACTTTAATTAATTTTGACACACATCAAAATATCTTGCATCATACGAGCATGTTGGTATGAAAAGTTTTTAAAAACTTCACGCAATATTTTTTGCCTATTAGGGAAAGTTGCCGAGGGACAACACTTCCTGCTTTGAAATGTCATTTATGATGGAAAGACACGATTAGGCCCATTATATGAAACAAGTTTGCTTTGGCACATTATTTACTGCTGAATGTCATTAGGTATTCACCATAGGCTGTGTTTTATTTTTTATATGAATAACATCAATCATCGTATATGGATCAGATAAATGGACCTTATCTCAGTTATAAAATGTAAATTTATTAAATACTATTGAAAATGATTATAATTCTTTTCAAAAAAGAAATGACATTGTAATATGTTATTTTAAAATTCTTAAATATGACCTAGCAAACTGACCAATGATTAAACTTTATGACAAACGTGATGACTTTAACTTTTCTATTGTCAACTTATGTAGCAATATATCTTTATCACCTTCATATGGAGTTTGGATCCCCTAGTTGATCCAATGCGTAAGAGCATGTTCTACGAAAGAACTATTTCTAAAAAGATGCAGGCTGTTGACTAATAAGTTGATACAAGAATATCAATAGTCTTGTCTAAAGTCAACATTTTGCAAAGTCTATATGGTCAAAACAATAACCATGTCTGCAAATACAGTCTATCATTAGGTCGAATATTGACTGACGTTTTTCAGACATATTTTTAGCCCATTAATCTTCACACTAGAAATGTCTAAGGACTTTTCCGTTTACCCGGAAGTAATTAACGGGGATGCTTACTCCTCCATGGCAACTAATCCCACCTGTTTTCAACACGGTCCCTATTGACTGTGCTGTAAAAATGATTACTGTTCATATCATCACATTTCATTTGTAATCCTCTTTGGGTCAAGATTGTACGGGAAATCACCATGTCCGTCTACCTTAGCCATTTTTGTCCAAAAATTAATGATTTCATTGTTTTTTAAGACTTGGTAGATTTCATAAATCATTGGAATGTAAGGTGTTTTGAGACCGATTTGAAAAAAAATTTACGACTTACTTAAGACTTCACTGCACGTAACTTAAACTAAAAGAATCAGGAGAGAAACTTCATTGAACATAACTTTGAGTCCCGAGTACATGTATTCCTTCCTACAAGTAAGAGCCTCGGTTAACGTCCCTACGCTCCATATATACCTCGGCGCCAAGTCAAAAGTATCTCGCCTTGAACCTCTAGCATGCTGGAGTAATACAAAAGAAGCTTGTGACCAAGTAGTACTTAAAACTAAAGTATAAAATATGTAAGATTGGGGTTAAAAATATTTATTTTAGCCATTAGCTATTACTATACGTTGTCATTTTGAAAATTTCAAGGCATTTGCTTAATATTTGATAGTTTCCCAAGAATTTGAAATGGGAAAGAAGTTAACACAACACACACAAAAAGGTAACGTTTGATGAACTTAGTGCTGCATCCCAGAACTGTTCAGTTTTATGCAGCTTTAGTAATCTTGATGCTTTAACAGAATTTAAATGATAACAGATTATAGAGAGAGAGAGAAAGAAAGAGAGAGAGCATGAAAGGGAAAATTAATAATCAGGATTTGATTTTTATTGCCTGAGTTCAAACCCAAAGAACACCATATTTTTAAATCGGAGTGATTTTGGCCCCAAGAATTTTGGCAGAAAAGTTTTGTTTGACATAATTCCAAACATTCACTTTACTCTAAATATTAAATTCAAAACATGAATATGACTTCAATACCTTTGAAGCTATAGGCATTTTGCACACCTTGTTCACCCATCTCCTTACAGAAAATTAAAATAGTGGTAATTCAAATAATAAATTAAGACTTTTGAAAACTGTTTTACATGCTGATTAAAAGGGTGGATAGATTTTCAGGATAATTTTCTTTATTAATCTTTAACAATTACAGCCTTAGAATATTCTGAAACATTGATTATTAATAGTTACTATTTATACTAGATTTGATGACAAAAACATATTTTATGTTTTAAAAGTCATACAATTAATGCAAAATATGATACAGATATGCAAGTTTTTATTGCTACTTATATGTTATTCAAAGATGAGGTCACTGACACACCTTTTAACCAAAAAATATTAACCAAGTTTTAAAACAAGATTTGATTTTAAGTCTTTAAGTGTATTCCACCAACGGAAGGATAAGGAATTATACTAAAATTATTCCATACATCAACATTGTAGTTTTGAAAAATGCAAAAACGAGGTTCAAAATAAAACTTTTGTGCATATCCAATGCTAGATACCTCAACATCAATTGCATGAATGATTAATATGTCATGGAGATTTAATCAGGTAACAAAAAAAATCCTCATAACAAAAATAATATTCAACAATTAAGATAAGTAAAAAAAAAAAAAACCACACACACACACAAAACACAAAACACTGATCATATATATGTGGGTAAAATAAAAAAATACACTCCTCATTCATCATAGTCTAGATAACTGCACTGGCGATCTTCAATGAATTTTGAATACAACATGGTTTCTTCCAGCAAGTTGTTTTCCCTCCCATTGTTATTGGTCAGGCGAAAAAAATACACAGGACAATAAAAATCATAATCAAAAAAAAAAAAAAAGTAAAAAAACAAAAAAGATTGCTTTGATCTTATGAATATAATTCAATTTTTTTTTCTTAAAAGAATAGCTCTTAAGATTCTAGCAACAATAAATATATTTTACAAGTAGCAACATAACACAGCAAACAAATGAGTAACATTGACATAAAAAATTGTACATTGTATCATTGTAAAAATACAAAGTAACATGCACAGAAAAGAAATTTGAAGATACATGTATCTTCATGATGATTGATAGTACATGTACCAGATGCTCACACAGTATCAATATACTTCCACTGACCATAAACTGGATAAATAGACAAAGTGTTGTCCTCTTTAATGAGCAACACATTAATGAGATGACCATGACCTTAACAGTGGTCAAGATTGTCCTTTACACTGACCAGCTCCCAGGAGGAATGGTCATGCCCTTCAAGGTCAGACGCCAAACTGACCAGCACGATTGGGTTGACAACAATCTTTTACGAAGGAAAGAATGTCATCTAGTGAGACTTAGAACAGCTGAAATCCCCTGGGTCATTACTTAGTTCCTTAACACTGGCCATCACACACAAGGAGTGACCAATCACTGACCATCACACAAGAAGTGACCACTGACCATCACACAGAAGGAATGACCAAGCACTGACCAACACACACAAGGAATGACCAATCACTGACCATCTCACAGAAGGAATGACCAATCACTGACCATCACACACAAGGAATGACCAATCACTGACCATAACACAAGGAGTGACCACTGACCATTACACAGAGGGAATGACCATTCCCTTTACAGAGGTCAGAACATATTCACTGAGTGGCTGTAAGTTATATACGGTCAGTGAGTCCAGCAGCCATTCTCTGGACACAGTCAAAGCTCCATGTCTTCTGTACAGCCCTACAAATTGAGGATAAAAAAATACTTTTAAAAAATATATTTTCTTCAAACAACATATTGTTCCAGCCTTAAATTACATTGTGCACATGGATTTTGAAGACATAAACAGGATAGACTTGAACATCAGAGAAATTTTCACTAGATGATAAATCACATCTGATAGTCTGGTTATGTTAAACCTTTGAACCTCTATTAGTAAGATGACATGAAATGATAAAATATTATAGAGCCTTCATTCACTATTACATTCACTTACGATTAAACAGGATAATTTCCTGGGATGGGGCAGTTTCCTGACTATCCTCCAGGGGAGCACATGTGATGATTAAACAGAGATGGTCACGGTCCAATTCCTCTGGCTCCTGGACCACCGATCCCCCACAAGTCTCTATCAAGTCCCTTATGTCATCTACAACACAAGTACACAATTATCTCTATATCATATACCTTGTAGTGTATCAGCTTTGATACGGGCATATCGGACTAGTTGAGACAGGATCTGGGAACTAGGGCTGTCTCGCCTCAGGGCTTAGATATAGCTGTCTCAGCCCGTTGTCAAGGGGCTGTCTCACCCTTTAAATTTTAATCCATTATTTCTGTTTAATTTGTGTAGAATGAAAGTAAAATTCATATCTAAGAGTTAATAAAAATATTTTGTGTACTAAAATTAAATCTGAATCTTAAACAATTATTTATTTATAATATAATATTGAGAAAAATGTTTTTAAAAAGTGCAACAAATGATGGTACTTGTGACTTAAGAGAGGTAACTCTTGTTTACTTATAACAGTAACACACCATGCTTTGAAAACAAATAGACATTCATTTGCTTTGACAGTAAGACAATACCAAGTTTTGTTTTAATGTGTCTTTTTTCGTTTAACATATATCGTAAGCGAAACAAGCAGTTACAATAAATCCCAGACCTGAAAGTTGTAATGATTCGTTGAAAATGTGACCTGGTTCGATCCAAAGTAAAAGTAGAGTTTTAAAACTTAGTTATCTAATGTGCTTTGGAATGCAATGTTTCAAAACACCAGGACTATTCTTTTTAATGCCCAAATCAGGCAAATTCTTTCTCTACATGACTAATCACCTTCGTCAAGCAACATATGAACATCGAAAAAAGAAAGAAAACTCTATAATTTCATTTCTTACGACAAACTTCATAAAACTTTTTGTCGGAAAAAAACCTTAATATTAGTTCTTTTATTGCCTTTGGTTTTAGATATATGATATAAACAACATCACACCACTGTTTCGACCTCGTTTCTGGTATCAGCCCTCGGATGGTCTCGGCCCACGCCCTCTGGACTTGGGTCGATATCTACTGCTCAGGTTCATACCAGGGTCGAGATCAAAACAGTTGTGTGATGTTGTTTATATCTTATCTATATTGTTTGTAGTATCTATCAGGTTCCTTATGTCATCTACAACACAAGTCACAATTATCTCTATCTACATCTATATTGCCTCTAGTCTCTATCAGGTCTCTTATATCATCTACAACACAAGTCACAATTATCTACATCTATAATGCCTCAAGTCTCTATTAGGTTCCTTATATCATCCACAAGTACACAATTACATTTATAAGAGAATACATGACTTTTAGAAACATATAAATAAAAGGTGAATAGCAATTTCCTGTTTTTAAATGTACCTGAACTCAGTCCTTGGCTGGATCCTATGATGTAGAACTGGATTCCATTAAGAATGCCTGGATCTGTGGGGCTCTTTGTTCTGGATTTCCGCGGCCCACAGTGATGGTCATTTGTCACCGTATCTCCACTGATCTCATAGGGATCCTTGGTTTATAAATATCACAAAAAATGATACAAATTATACCATTATTTGAATGATTGTTTGCTTCATCTTTTATTATTACAAGGTACTGTTATGGAAGCGGTAATTTTTTTTTAAGTTTCTTGATTAACAGAGGATCAAATGGCAGCCAGAATTCTTCAAAGGAAAAAATCATTCTGTGAAAAATAACATACTGTACAAACAACTTATCTACATCTACTCTGTATTATCCTGATATACATGTACCATCATAACTTGAATGTGAATTTTTTTTTTATCAAAACACACCTCCTCGAGTAGCCTCCCAGCAGCTATACTGTCTGTTAGGCCAAATAAAAAAAATATATGTGGTTCCGGTTACCCGACCGTCCCTATTTTATACCCCCGACTCTAAACTTTTTTCTGGCAATTTTCATATTTTTTCCGGAATTTTCCCCGCTTTCCGTCATCGGCTCCAGTATTAGTTTTATTTTCAGCAATGGTGGCCTCCATGCAAAACATCGTTTCAAAACTTAGTCAGTTAGTGCAAGTGTTCAATTAATTAATAGTGTTAAATCTAAAGAAAGCTAGCATAGCGCAGAAGCATTCATTTTTTTCCAGCACCATTTTTTTTTTTTTTTTTTGGCTTGCCAAAATTAAATAAATATACGTTCACAGACAGCTGGCCAGGTAATATGCCTTTGGGAGTTAGGGAGAAGATAACATGAGAAAACATCATTTGATTGCATTGATTACGCAAGAACTAGCCCAATGTGTAAGATAGATTAACTTGTAAATTATGAAATAATTTAAATCAGATCGTTTCTTTTAAACCGAAAGTAGAAAAAAAAAGTTGATGAGGAAAAGTGAAAAACAAGACAGCTGATTTTACCTGAATAGTCAACTCACATAGTACCAATTTATATGAGCTTGGAAGTATAAAGTCTTCAATGAGGCAAAAAGTTTTCATTGTAAGATTTTAAAATTTTAACAATATTACATATATTTCCTCTGACAGCTCTTAGCAGTACTCTATGTCCGTTTTCTAGTTTATCGTTCAAAATTTATTATTAAATAAAATAAGAATTACTCTGGATAAAAGTCATTAATTTCATTTATAAACATGGATTTAAAAAAAAGGATATTCATCACGAACTCTTTTTTTACAAAAAGAAATTAATAAGATTATTTGTGTGTTTATTATTTTTGATTTAAAAATATTTGTTTCATAATTATTCATAACTAGGGTGTCCCTACCAATGTTGACTTGTATATTATCACGCCACATCTAAACGCCACTTGCAAAGCAGTGATAGGTATTATTTAGAAAAATTTAGAAAATAATTAAAAAAAAAAAAAAAAAAAAAAAAAAAAAAAATTCCCTACCTACCTACCCTAATTTTTTTGGAGGTGTAACCGGAACCACACATATTTTTTGTTTGGCCTTACCCATTTGTAATCCAGGATCCAGCACTTATAGGCCAGGGCCTGGAAAAACTTGAGGGTCCTTTCACACATTCTACTCCCTGGCGGCACTGTTAGGACAGAAAATAAACATAGGTAATCAAAGATGATGGGGCTCACCTCCACAAAACTTATGTAAAGCAATGTCTCCCACCAAATGAATGTTCTGGTTGTGTGAATACTAAGGTACAACATTTATTTAATTGAAACAAAATTTTATTCACAGAAGTGAATGGGATTGGGCAGCAGGCTCAGCCTATTTAAGCCCCCTCCTTAACCAATTTACAACATACATTAAGTTTGGTATGGTAGGACTTTAATATTATATAGTTACTTTAGTCCAGTGTCTGAACAATGTCTGGTAGCATGCATCCAATGAAACATTATGAATACAAGTTTGTTCACCATAGTGCTTGGAGTTACTTTGGAATGACGCGCTCCAAAAACTTCAACCTGATCACACCTCTGGAAAATGTGGGTCAGATCCACTATCTGAAGCAAGTCTGGTAGTGTCCATTCCTAGATGCATCATTTATGAATGTTTGGTCACTATAGGGCCTATAGGTACTTTGGAAAGGACTTGAACACCCAAAGTCAAGGAAAACAAATCAAAATCGTTAGTACCCAAGAGAAGGTCTTGTCACAAGGATACACATGTGAAATATGAAAGCCCTAGCACCAACTGTTCAAAATTTATTGCCAAGGTTAAAGTTTTCAAAAGTAAGTCCCCAAGGTCAAGGTCATGAAGGTCAAATATGTTGGTACCCAAGGGAAGGACTTGTCACAAGGAATACACCTGTGAAATATGAAAGCCCTAGCACAAACTTAAAGTTATGGCTAAGGTTAAAGTTTTTCAAAGGTAGGTCAGACTAAAAGGTCAAGGTAAGCAAATCAGAATTGTTGGTACTCAAGAAAAGGTCTTTTCACAAAGAATATACCTGTGAAATATGAAAGCCCTAACACCAACCATTCAAAAGTTATTGCCAAGGTTAAAGTTTTTCAAAAGTAAGTCAAACTCCAAGGTCATGTGGTCCATATTGTTGCTACCCAAAGGAATGTCCTTTCACAAGGAATACGTGTGAAATAAGAAAGCCTTCGTACCAACTGTACAAAATTTATGGCCAAGGTTAAAGTTTTTCAAAAGTAGGTAAAACTCTAAGGTCAGGGTCAAAGGGTAAAAAATTGTTGGTACCCAAAAGAAGGTCACAAGGAATATGCATTTGGAATAGGAAAGCCCTAGTACCAATCGTTCAAATGGTATGGCCGAGGATAAAGTTTTTGTAAAGTTGGTCAAACTCCAAGGTCAAGAGGTTAGGGCTATTCCAGGAAAAAATGTACGGGAGGGTTGGACAGCACTTCATATATTTTTGTATGGGTAGTGGGTCTGGAGCAATTAAATTTGTATGGGTGGTTGTCCTCACTCGATATAATTTTAGATTGGTGCTTGTATTTACCCTCACAAATAATCAAGTGCAAAGTACTTCTTTCCTCTCATTTTGTATAAATCGGTAAATACTGATATTTTCGTCCTAAACAGTTGTAAAGTGTGTTTACATTGAAAGTGAAAGTAGATTCGAACAAAACGGAAACAAGGGCA